ACCAAATGGAAAAAGCAATATTAATGTGTGAAATGAAGTGAAAAGGGCCGCTGAGTGCTCTTCTGGAAGTAAATACTTGTCCATGTTGAGGAAGTGCTGTCACACATGACACGGCACTGCGAATGTTAGCTCAGCCTGCAGAGGGGGAACGTCTGTCAGCTTTAATCCCTGTGTAATTTGTGTAATTTGTGTAAACATAACATATAATTACTCATCGCAGTACTAAGCTAGCTGCTAGAAGCTCCAAAGTTGCCCTCTCCACTTCAAAATAACCCTGGCACCAAGCACTTCACCAACCATGTCAATTAGTAATGCACTAGTAATATTTAACACACAATTAGTGTTCGGTTTTCACACTACAGGCATAAGAGGTTATATTCGCTGACCAAGAGACACATTAAAAAAAAAATTACAATTGAAATGTTCAAAATATTCACAATAAATGTCAAATTTTTAGTTATTTTAAGTTATTGTTAGTTTTACTTGCAGAACTTTTACCTAAGCAGATTTTGCAATGGTTTCAAGAGTGCCACACAGATTGACTGAGCTGACCAACAGGACGTTGCTTGGTGTGAAAGTGAACTTTGCATGAACTGTGCTTCATACATCGCTACACTATTGACAACAAACCATTTATGCCTGTGAAATTTCACTGACGTGACACAGCTCCATTGAATTATTCACCGGAACAACACTTTAACAGATAAAGGTGAAACTACTGCAGTATTATCACATGCATAATGATTGCTTCTTTTTTACACTTGAGGTGTAAGAGATTGTATATTTAGACTAAAGGCGCAGTCATATTTATTTTTGTTCTGTGAATATTCAGTGTGAAATCCAGTGATTTCTATAAAAATCTGGAATTCTGCATGAAGATGAAAAATGTCCTCAAGATAAGAGGAAGGCGGATACTTTTCTGTCTATACCTGGTGATTGAATGAATCTGTCTCTTTGGTCAAGTCAAGTCAAGTCAAGTCAAGCCAAGCAGGTCAGGTCAGGTCAGGTCAGGTCAAGCCAAGCCAAGCCAAGCCAAGCCAAGCCAAGCCAAGCCATGTCAAGTCAAGTCAAGTCAAGTCAAGTCAAGTCAAGCCAGGTCAAGCCAGGTCAAGCCAAGCCAAGCCATGTCAAATCAAGTCAAGTCAAGTCAAGTCAAGCCAGGTCAAGCCAGGTCAAGCCAAGCCATGTCAAGCGAATCAAGCCAAGCAAATCAAGCCAAGCAAATCAAGCCAAGCCAAGTGAAGTCAAGTCAAGTCAAGTCAAGTCAAGTCAAGTCAAGTCAAGTCAGGTCAGGTCAGGTCAGGTCAAGTCAAGTCAAGTCAAGTCAAGTCAAGTCAAGTCAAGTCAAGTCAAGTCAAGTCCTCTTTATTTTTATAGTGTTTTTACAATTTAAACTGTTTCAAATAGTGGTTGGTGCATAGTGGCGCAGTGGGTAGCACTGTCCTCTCACAGCAAGAAGGTTGCTAGTTTAAACCACGACTGGGTCAGTTGGCATTTCAGTGTGGAGTTTGCATGTACTCCTCGTGTTCGTGTGGGTTTTCTCAAAGGTTTCGTTGGGCGTCGGGCTAATGACCCACCTCCTAAAAACTAGATGTTATGAAACACCAACATGGTGCGGCTAAATTTCAATTTCGATTTTAATGGCCCTGGGGCTAAATATGACTGTCTCTGTTGAAGAATAATCCAATGAAGAGCAGTTTTACCAATCTTTGACTAAATCTAGAGCTGGGAGAATGTATAGGTTTTTTTTCTTTCACTCTAATATTGCAATATAAGTTTGAATTGACATAGGAAAGCTTCCATTTCTGCTCCAATAGCCATACAACTACACTGAGATTGTGTTAAAATGAGGAGTGGTTAAAGAACTTTTAAAGAAACTTTTGCTTTTTTATTATTCTTCAACTTAACAAAACATAATGGCTTGTGAGCTTCAACAACATGTCCAATTGTTTGGCATTCAATTCTGTGAGCGTTTACACTATAAAAGCAACCCAATCAAATGCATTTTTAGCCACACAACCGATCAAAAGTTTGGGGTCAGTGTGATTTTAAATGTTTTAAAAACGCTTTTCCTGCTCACCAAAGTTGCATTTATTTAGTCAAAAGCTCAGTAGGCTACAAATTGCAAAATTGTGAAATGTTATTGCACTATAAAATAACTGTTCAAAAGCAGTTTATAATTTAATTTAATCATTTATTCCAGTGATTTTAATGATTAATTTTTAGCTTCATTGCTCCAGTCTTCAGTCACACGATCCTTCAGAAATCACTCTAATATTATTATTATTATTATTATTATTATTAATGGTAATAGTAATAAAAGCAGTAATGACTGAAGCAATAATTAAATTTGAAACTACATGCAATAAGAAATATCTATTACAAATGTAATATTTAACAATTTAACATTTTTTACATTTAATAAATGCCGCCTTGATGAGCAGAATAATCAAAAAAACATTAAAAAAACTGACCCCAAACTATTGACTGCTAGTGTACCTCTATTAGAGTTCAAAGGTGGACAATCTCAAAACATTTCATATCATGTTTGCACCCGTAGTTGTTTTAACACCATCTGTAAACTAGACTAGGTGCAAGCTGCCAGATTCACATCCTAACCTCCAAAAGTTTATAAAAAAATCTAAAATGTGAGTTATATGCATTAATGGTTATATGCATTACATTAAGCTGGGCTTCCAGCTAACTCTATCAAACCTCTTCAGCTGCTCCAGAATGCAGCAGCACGAGTTGTCTTCAATGAACCTAAACGAGCACATGTCACTCCGCTGCTAGTCCGTTTGCACTGGCTGCCAGTTGCTGCTCGCATCAAATTCAAAACTCTGATGTTTGCCTACAAAGTGACTTCTGGCCTAGCACCTTCTTATCTGCACTTACTTCTGCAGATCTATGTGCCCTCCAGAAACTTGCGTTCTGTGAATGAACGTCGCCTCGTGGTTCCATCCCAAAGAGGGAAAAAATCACTTTCGCGAACGCTCACGCTCAATCTGCCCAGTTGGTGGAATGAACTCCCTAACTGCATCAGAACAGCAGAGTCACTCGCTATTTTCAAGAAACGACTAAAAACTCAACTATTTAGTCTCCACTTCACTTCCTAATCTGCAATTGCCTCTTTGAATATCACACTAACTGTACAAAAAAAAAAAAAAAAAAAAACTACTAATACTTCCCTTCTTAGACTTTACAGACCTGAAACTTGCCTTTAGTACTTATTCATTGTTGCTCTTAGTTGTGTAAATTGCTTCCTTGTCCTCATTTGTAAGTTGCTTTGGATAAAAGCGTCTGCTAAATGACTAAATGTAAATGTAATGTAAGTTATTAGAGTGGCTGACTGTAGTATTGGTAACCTAGTAACCAACAGTAAACAAGCAAGCATAATGGAGACAGCATTAGTCATCTAGATGTAATGTTCATTAGAGTTTATTCACCAAATGCATTTCCATTTCTCATTATTCACATTAAGTAAAATTTCACAAACTGAATTCGAGAGGATCATGATATGATTGATTACAGCTGGTCTCTCATTTGTAATCATTAGTAAGCCAATCAGATCATTCCAAACTCACTATAAATAGCCTGACTAGTAGAGCTGTAATCGGGCCATAAAAATTATAGGCACACAGCTCTTTTGCCTTTTTTTTCAAGAATGAGTCATTTATATGTTTTAACATAATTTATTTGTAACAAACATAGACTATAGGCCACTTGGAAGTTGGAACAAGGAAATAAAATAAGTCCTCTGTAACATCAAAACATCTCAGCACTCTAAATAAGCCTAGGTACACACACTTAGCCTTTAAATTGGCCAACACACCAAAAAAAATAAGTCTTTCTTAACAAATTAAATTAAAATAAATTCTAAATTATGAAGGGTATTTGGCAATACCAAAATTAAGATAAAAGCTGTGCGAGATTTATTTCACCAATTCTCTTCACAATCTGGCTTTGAGGCGACGATGAAGCTGGAAATTAGAAGAATAATGCCAACATTAGCCTGTTTACTCTGTCTACATTATGATTTTATGGTTTAATTAATATTTATTTATAATTTAAAAACCTTTTACCCACCGAGATTAGGCTACGTGTTTTTGTGGAGGAACATGAATCCACTGTAAATGGCTTCATTGCAGTCCTGCGCTCAGGATCCAGCGAACACCCTTTTACTGCAGCTGCTGCTACAGGCCGAGATGCATAGTTCTGATCTGGCTAATTTTGCAAGTTGTGGGTAGGGTTGTTTGTTCATCTTCTACCAGCCAAGAACATTTAATTTTTCATGACAGCAGTTTCAATGTAGCGAGAGACCTCGTCATCTTCCCTGTCAACTTGCTAAACATACATTGCTGTTAAGCGCTCTACCGTAATACGCAGTGTATGAGTAACCGACGAAATATCTTGGCTGCTAGAAGGACCTTTATTTTTGGACTTGATTACATTCTCGCGCTAATCGAAACGCATAACATGACTGTTCATTTAATGCGCAAGCCAAGCCTGGCCTGACCCGACCCCCTCTAAAATGATAGAAATTAAACCCGAACCCACCCGAATGGTTTGGACAAAGATCTTCAGCTCTACTGACTAGCATTACTCCCTCATCTTCATTTTGTGAAGAATCCCCCCTCCAACCCCATCTCCACCTTTTCTCCTTTACCAGGAGGAGCTCTCGAAAACTACCTGATCCCGTACCCCCTTACATGCTCATTGAGCAGGTAGGAGCCCTGGGCTCATTTATCGCCGAGCTCCAGGGTCCTGCAGCATGCCAAACCTGCTATTATTATCAAGCAACATCTAAGTGTGAACTCTTGAAACATTTGTCTCAAAAAAAGCCAAAAAAATTTTTGTGAATACAGGAATTTTTTTAAATGACTAATTTTCATCACTCACTTCTGATGTGATACTTCAAAATGCGCAATAACACAGGGTAATGGAAATTATCCTCTACAATACTGATGACAGACTGTAACACACATCATCTGCATCTTTACCTGCATAGTGCAGAGGTGCGTCTTTATCCAGGGCGAACAGAGGTGGGTTGAGAAGGACAGTGTTGTCGTTTTCCATGACGATGCCTTGATACTCCGTCTCGATCCATGGCTTGTGTTTATTGGCTGAGAAAGAAAAATCACAAAAGCAAGAGACGGCGTGAGAGCAACAAGAACAGTGTGTGATTCAGAACAAATAGCAATTTCATTTCTTTGACATAGCTATTTTCAACACGCCGTTATGAAGGTGAGCGAGCAGAGGTTCAAAGACAAACACAAACAGTCCCAGGCGAAGGAATTTGCAGCACATTAAAAAAAAAGTTGTGCCATAATACGCTAGTGGCAGATGGTGCAATGGTTCGGCCAGCTGTACATATGCATAACACTTGCACATTAAGTTACAAACATACCCATATGGGGATCCACCAAAGCTGTGTGATGGACAAACACAACACACACAAACACAAACACACATACACGCACGGCACGTCGAGCCTCGCTGCCTTGCAGAGTAATTAGGTGTAGAGATGTTTGGCCTGATCGCGCACCGTGAGGTATATTGCGCCTATCACTCAAATGCAGACAGAGAGCTCTCTGTGAACACTCAGAGAAAGAGCCAAGCATGCAAACCATCATCAAACCCACTGAAAATGAGAAATCCTCAACAATAAGAACAGCCTGCTTGCCTGGGGACTTTCAGCTCAGTGCTGTGTCGCCTCTGAAAATGTTACTTTCATCACAATTACAATTTTTTAATATTTTAATGATGCATTTTGCAATTTATGTTGTACATTTCATTGATTTGTTATTCAGATGTTACTTTGTAGGCTAACATACGGGAGGTTTTGTCAAATGTGTAAAAATATATTAAAAACTAAGGTACATGTTGGAAACTGTGAAACTATAATATTTCTTCTGTTGTTTTATTTATGGATTTGTATAATTTTAAAGCTTTTGCTTATATTTTGTAATATATGAAGTACCATTTAATGATTTTAAAACAATTATTTTTTAGAAAGGTTGTTCTTTTGACATTTATATTTCTGCAATTTTCTGTAGTGGAATTATAACAGCAATATATTTTATTTCTGTATCAAATTTCAGCGTGATTTTTTTAAATGACAAAAGCAACAAAAAAAAATAAAGTCTATAAATGAAATAATCATGTAAATATTTTAACATATTGGTGGTTAAAACAGGTCTGTTGCATATCCTGGACCAGGCCGTATCCTGAGAAGCTGCTGTGGTGGTTATGGAGAAGTGGTGAGCATGAGACTGATTCCAGTGATGCTCCAGGGACAGACGGGTCTTCGCTGAGGCCAGCTTCCAGCCTCCTCCGCTGAGACTGCAGCTCTGCACAAGATGTTTGGCCAGTAGAGAAATTAAAATCCTCGTGCCCAACTGAGTCTGGTTTCTCTCAAGGTTTTTTTTCTTCACTTTCGCCAATCTGTGAATTTTTTTTCCTTCTCCGCTGTCGCCTCTAGCTTGGGTTTGGGATCGATAGAGCTACGCAACGATGAATTTGCTCTTCAGTGTTTGGACTCTCAGTAGTGGTTTTAAACCACACTGAACTGAGCTAAACTGAACTGAACTTAAACACTAAAAAAACTGAACTACACTGTTAAAAATTACTATGACCTTTTATGTGAAGCTGCTTTGACACAATCTACATTGTAAAAGCGCTATACAAATAAAGCTGAATTTAATTGAATCGCAAATGATGCCCTTATGATTAATATCTCAACATATTCCTTCAAATACTAATTTAATTTTGTTTTATGATCACTTTAAGTGTATTATTTGAACTCATTGTTTCTATTAATATTATAAAATGTATTGAATACATACAGTTGAAGTCAGAATTATTAGCCCCCCTTTTAATTTGTTCTCTTTTTCTAAATATTTCCCAAATGATGTTTAACAGAGTAAGGAAATTTTCACAGTACGTCTGATAATATTTTTTCTTCTGGAGAAAGTCTCATTTGTTTTATTTCAGCTAGAATAAAAAGCAGTTTTCAATTTTTTATAAACCATTTTAAGGTCAATATTATTAGCCCCTTTAAGCTTTATATATTTTTTTGATAGTCTACAGAACAGTCCATCATTACACAATAACTTGCCTAATTACCCTAACCTGCCTAGTTAACCTAATTAACCTAGTTAAGCCTTTAAATGTCACTTTAAGCTTTATAGAAGTGTCTTAAAAAATATCTAGTAAAATATTATTGACTGTCATCATGGCAAATATAAAATAAATTAGTTATTAGAAATGAGTTATTAAAACTATTATGTTTAGAAATCTGTTGAAAAAAACCTTCTCTCCGTTAAACAAAAATGGTAATAAATCTGACTTCAACTGTACATTACAATAACATTTTCCTTAACTGCATGGCAAAATGTAATTGAAATTTAAGCAGCACAACATAGTAAATGACTGCAATTAAGTCAAATAACCACGATAAATCATTTATTGTGACAGACCTACTTAAAAATAAAACTCCCTCTTTATTTAGGTCAGGCCAGTAAAATATTGGCAAGGACAGTAAAAATCATATCTGCTAATCCTTATTATTGAGCCCTGCCTATTAAAAGGGCTTTAAACTCTATGACAGCACACAGCACTGACCCCTAACCCAATGCACCAGTCCAACTGCTAGAATATTTTCCACCACCTCTCTCTAATATTTCAAATCAATCTGTCGTTTTTGCCATTTATTTCACTCCCGCTCCCTCTCTCACCCACCCATCCACGCCTGCTTTCCTCCCTCTCATCCCTCACTCAGCCATATAACATTAATCTGAGCATCAGAGCGCTGGATTACTCCTCGGATTACAGGCCGAGAGACAACACTGTGCATTTCACTCCATTTATTACACGTGCCGCTCATACACACACACTGAGGCAGAGCTACACATGTCTATGACGATAACACTGAGGAACATTAGCCGTAAATTAAGAAAATCTAGCATCTCCGGTTTCCCACGTCTCTAAAAATAGCAGCGACGAGAATAGATAAGCTTTCACCCTTTTCTTCAAGGACAAGCATCGACCTCTCATTCCTGTCTCGCTGAAATCCTACAGAGCATCTTTTCCATCCTTCTCCAGACTCTGCTCCTCCACCGGTTAATCTACATGTATCTGCCATTTCATCTGAGAGACAACTCTTATATTCCAGCGTGTTGTTTCATCCTTGCTCATATTTCTTTCGCCTTCATCATGTTGCAGGCCTGCTCTAGCCAATCTGTGGGATATTTTAGTCCCATGCGTTGCTACATCACTTTAGAAATGTAAAACATGGGAGATGTGAGATGCGTTACTTCTAGTCCTTTATGTGGCTGCCGTTAAGCATGAAATACAAAATAGTGTTCAAACTGTAAGGGGCATATGCATTTGAATAAATTTTAATTATTTTTCAAATAATTGTCAAGTATTAACAAATAAGTGATGTTTAGCAGAATACGGATTTTTTCACAGTATTTCCTATTATATTTTTCTTCTGGAAAAGTCTTAATTGTTTTAGTTTGGCTGGAAAAAAACTGTTTTTCTTTTTTTTTATATACAGTTGAAGTCAGAATTATTAGTCCAACTGAATTATTCACCCACCTGTTTATTTTTCCCCAATTTCTGTTTAACGGAGAGCAGATTTTTTCAACGCACTTCTAAACATAATAGTTTTAATAACTCATTTCTAATTTTTCATTCATTTTATCTTTGCCAAGATGACAGTAAATACTATTTGACTTATTTGACTTCTATACAGCTTAAAGTGACATTTAAAGGCTTGACTAGGTTAATTAGGTTAACTTAGGCAGGTTGGGGTAATTAGGCAAGTTATTGTATAAAGATGGTTTATTCTGTAGACCAGGCGTCACCAATCTTGGTCCTGGAGGGCCTGTGTCCCTTCAGGGTTTAGGTCCAACTTGCCTCAACACACCTGCTTGGGTGTTTCAAGTATACCTAGTAAGACCTTGATTAGCTTGATCAGGGGTGTTTAATTAGGGTTGGAGCTAAAATCTGCTGGACTCCGGCCCTTCAGGAACGAGAGGGGTCTGGCTCCAGACCTGGTGCAGTGCAATCTGGGCTGCATCCAATGCTTATTAATGGGCTCACCTAACCCCACCCCTAACCCTACCCGTCACAGTGACATCACTAGCACTAGCTTTGAGTGCATTGTGTCTGACATTGCATCACTGAGTGATGCAGTCTCAGCTTGCATCATAAAGGCTGCATCCAGATACTATTGCCAGGAACATGTTTGGTGACCGCTGCTGTAGACAGTCAAAAAATAGCTTAAAGGGGCTAATAATCACAATAAATTTTAAACTGCTTTTATTCTATATGCTTTTATTGTATTTAGCCGAAACAAAAAAATAAGACTTTCTCCAGAAGAAAAAAATATTATCAGACATACTGTGAAAATTTCCTTGCTCTGTTAAACATCATTTGGGAAACATTAAAAAAAGAACAAAAATCAAAGGGGGGCTGATAATTCTTCTACTGTATATTTAATTTTTAGTCTTGATATTATTAAGGGGGTCGCACACTGGATGCGCCGCTCAGCACTGTGACATGGTGTGCACATGACAGTTGAAAGTATGTCACACCAGATGCACACATTGAAATGTTATTTAATATAAAACTATTCAGATGGCGCGGCAGAAATATAAACTGTGTTCTGAGTCGTAGCTGGGCACCGCGGACAGCTGCCGGCTTGGGGCAACGGTGTGCATACACTGTTAGAAATCTATTTTCAAAATTCTAAAATGCATGAAGTTGTGTGGTGCGGCGTGTCACCAGGTGCCGCATTCAGTGTGCGACCCCCTTCAACCACCTCCGATTGGCTACAGAACAAACCACTGTTGTCCAATGACCAGGGCCAGACAGAATCTGCAAACATTTTCTGCTATTTCTCGGCAGAATTTTGTTACAATTCGGAGGATTTATGAGAATGACTTTGAGAGTATCATAAAAAACTTGATATATGAAATAAAATTTTTTTTTTAAAAATAAAAACTTTTATTTAATGTTTAAAATGCAAATCCAATTAGATACACCTTTTTGTTAAACAAAGTCTCTATATATAATATAAGTCTCTATTTATATAATATCTCTTATATAAAGTCTCTCATATGATATATCAACTAAAAGGCAGATAATATTACTTTATAAACTGTTTTGTAAATAAATCAAATTAACATTTTCATATTAGTCAATAGTATTACTGAAATTAATTAAAAAACTGAAGAAATATAAATTTGTACACAAGAAATTAAATAGACTCAACGATTGGCTAAAAATCAGCTGATTTCTGCGTGCGCAGATTCCGCGTGGGTGGGCTTAATTTAATTAGGCTTAATAACATATCTAATTAACCTAGCTTGTCTATTTAATTCACTATGTTTATTTTGCCAGCACATTCTTATTCTTTATGTGAGCAATTAATGCATGCAAGTACATCTACTTTTTACATTTTTTTCTTTTACTTTTGGTAATCTTCAATTAAATGTTGAACATTTGCTTCTGTGTTTAGAGTGTCTGTCCTTTTGTTGATGTTATTTTGCCAGCTTCAGCCACAATATTCTTAACCATACCCCTCTTCGTTTGTGACAAGAGAATAATGTGAAAAAAATGAACTCAATTACCTTACTCAATATTCCATTTCAGTTGCACTGTCAAAAATGTCCAGATTTTCACAACATGTTACTGTAATTTTTCACAGTAAATTATATAAGTATCACTTTACAGGATTCACATGGAAAGATTCACAATAATATGGTGTATTAATAATTTTATTGTGAAATGTTGGCAGGTTGCATGATTACAGCAAATTACTGTAAAAAGGGCTATATCTTTTGCATATTAGTTATAGAAAATTCAAACTCTTTTTATTTAATTCAACATAGACGTTAATACAAATGAACTTGTATGCTAGTATTGACATTTTTTTTATATTTAGTAATAACAGAATATTATTGCATCTCCAAAAACAATTGGGTTACATCTTCAAAACTAACTTGAAAGAAAATCATCCTGTTTTGAAACGACATGAATTTCTGTAAATTTTCATTTTTGGGTGCACTGCACCTTTATTTAGTTTTATAAGGTTAACATGGAAATATGAAATATTTTTTTAATAAGCATAACTTGCTTAGCCAAAAACGTAATAAACTGGAACAAAATTAATTGATTTATAAAACCAAACACTGTTAAACACCCAAAATTATTTCAAAGTCAGAGTAAATGTCAGAATTAATAGCTGAAGAATGCCTGCTTCACAGTAAAATGTAGTTGATTCTACAGGATAATACTGTGAAATCACAGTAATGGACTTTTGTATCTACTGTGAAGTTACACTATATGGCTGTAATTTCACAGTAATTTATTGTAACAAAATCACAGTAAATTACTGTGAGCTACCTCATGGTAATTTGCTGTAAATTTAAATACAGTATTTTACTGTGAAAGTAATGCAATTATTAGCCAGTAATTTACTGTGAATTTAAGGTCAATTTTTTTACAGTGTGGAAGTACATCAACATAATGAAATAAAAGTTTAAAGTTTAAATTAAAGGTGTACATTTAAAAGTTTAAGCCTTTAAATTGCACTGAATACTGGTGTAAATATTATGTAGTACTATCATCATGGCCAAGACAAACACATTAGTGATTAGAAATGAGTTATTAAATCAGTCATGTTTCAAAATGTGCTGAAGAAAACATTCTCTCCATTAAACAACACTTTCAGAATTGAAGAGGATGGCTTAAATTTTTGCCTTCAACTGTACATATTTTAGAAAATAGGCTTCCTTTATAATCAACAAAAAAATCTGTCAGTGACTTCAGTTTATCAATCTCACACAGTTGTGTTATAATCAATGAATGTCTGATTTATTTCTGCACTCTATGCTATAATGAGGGGTTTTGTGCGCGCGTAGAGCTCGGTCAGCATTGTACAAAATCTCCTGCAACGGTCAGTGGATTCTGATTAATCTGAACACCTCTGATGCCCATTCTGATGGCCAGTGTGTTCGAGAAATCAATGTCGGTAAATGAGCATCGCCTCATGGTACCATCAGAGAGAGAGGATCAAAATCACTTTCCAGAACTTTCTGTTTCACTGTTCCTTACTGGTGGATTGATCTTCCCAGCCCCATCGGCAAGTCAAAGACAGATATGGAAACAGATCTCTTTCTTTTAAAATATAAAATATCCATTATGCTTTATTACTTTTACAAAATCCCTCAAAAATTCTAGTTTCAATTTCTGAACCTTTATTTCTCAGCTGTTGGGTTGAGATCCCAGTAGTTATGGCACACTAATCACTTCATTGTAACTAAAGAGCACAAAAAATTACCAGCATGCTACTTCAGTGCTAGGCTGTAAATCAGTAAGTCATGCGATTACCAAAAATTACCAATAAATTACGTTGCTTGTAGTAGCTGGGAATGATTTGCATGCTGGCATCATGTTGATTCTGTTAATCAGAAGCAATTTTCATGCGTTTTACCTACAGTTCATGTTGGGATTGTGTTTTTATGCTGTGCTTTTCTGTCATTTTACATTTATTTTATATATTTTTAAACAAATGTGGTATCTGTAATCAATTTGTGTATAAAAAAAACAGGAAAGTGTTTTCAAAGCATTGCTAAAATATTAGAATTGTTGCATCCTATTACGAACAGCAGGTGTTGAGGATGGCACATAACATAGGAGACAGCACACACCCCTTAAACAAAGACGGAATTGGGGGATGTCTAAGGACAAGAGCCGAAGCAATTTGGTTACGTAACAAATGTTGTTAATTGAATAAATGTTTATTATTATTAATCATTTTTTTTGATATATATAAATTATTATTGTTATTAAATATGTCCCATTCAGGTTTTTTTTTGCCCTCAGTTATTTGATTTTGAGTATCTACCAATATCGAAAACCCATCCGATACTTCTATAATACATAAAATAGGACTAAGAAGAGCGAAGGAACAGATCAGGGCGCTCCTTATTTTTCATCAACTTTATAATACCTTCAGACCGCAGACATACTTGGTTGTTTCTAGATCAAATACGGCTGTGGCTGGAAGTTAACGAGAATTTTTAAATTATTTATTAATTAATTGTATTTTAATGTGTACCCCTACTCCAACCCCAAACTTAACCGCCACAGTAATGTAAAAATAGTAGTTGTATCAAGTATTATTTATGTTATTTATTAAATTACCCAGAAAATTTATTTTCTACATCCACCTCTACCCTAAACCCAACCGTCACAGTACTTCACAGATTACCAATGGGTCTAAGCCCAAAAGTAAATTAAATGTATAAATGAATATTATTGATATTTATTTTTATTTTATTTCTCTTCCTGTTTTTCTTTTATTTTTTCTTTCCATTTTTTTGTTTATGTACTTGATGTTAAGTGTTGGTGTTTATTGTGTCAAGTGTGTCATTTTTGTTATAAAGTTGAAGTCAGAATTATTAGCCCCCCATTGATTTTTTTTTTCTTTTTTAATATTTCCCAAATGATGTTTATCAGAGCAAGGATATTTTCACAGTATATTTCAGATAATATTTTTTCTTCTGGAGAAAGTCTCATTTGTTTTATTTTGGCTAGAATAAAAGCAGCTTTGAATTTTTTATGAACCATTTTAAGGACCAAATTATTAGCCCCTTTAAGCTAAGACTGTCTACAGAACAAACCATCGTTATACAATAACTTACATAATTACGCTAACCTGCCTAGTTAACCTAATTATCCAGTTAAACATTTAAATGTCACTTTAGGCTGTATAGAAGTATCTTGAAAAATATCTAGTGAAATATTATTTACAGTAATCATAGCAAAGATTAAATAATTCAGTTATTAGAAAAGAGTTATGAAAACTATTATGTTTAGAAGTGTGTTGAAAAAAAATCTTCTCTCAGTTAAACAAACTACTTAGAAAAAATAATTCAGGGGGTAATAATTCTGACTTCAACTGTATGTAAAGCACCAAGTCAGAATAAAATGCCCCAAGGGGATTAATTAAGCACTAAACTAAACTAAACTAAACTAAACTAAACTAAACTAAACTAAACTAAACTAAACTAAAACAATTTAATAGCTTTCTGTATCTGTTTCAAGACTGCTATTTAGAACCTATTGCTATTTAGAACTGCTATTTTGTTTATTCATCTGTACTACTAATTTTCTTTTATGCTTATGTGTACATGTTATAAGTGGGACAGTAGTCTTGTCATACATTTTTGTGAAGTAATTTTGCTTGGGTTTTTATATCTAAATAAATGTCAATTTAGATTGATTTCTTAACTGAATGCAAAGAGGGGAAAACTGGTCACGGTTTAATGTCCATTGGCCAAACCAGTCGAAAAGCCCTGTTCTAAACAATGCTTATAACTTAATTTCCATGATTATTTGGATTAATAAATGTTCACTTGTTGACTTACTATTAAATGCACATTCTAATCAGTGTCAGCTAAGTTCATCTATGTTAAAATAAAGATATTCGTGATTGGTCAACACAATCTCATGGCAGTTCGGAACTTTTGAAGTAATGGATAATTTGTATAAACCTTCAAGATTTAATTCGTAAATTGTAGTATACTGCTCACCCCCTTGAGTGGTAGGGATATGGGGCGGAGAATGTGGTCCCGCCTCCTTTAAAAATTGGATGCTTCCATTTGAATGCAATTGTATGAATAGCCACTTTTCTTACAATATAAATAAAATAGTTACATTTCCTTAACATTGCAGGATGTTTTTACATCAGTTCTATTTCTACAACCTGGCAGGAATGCAGCATCAGCTAAGGGTGCTCCTGCTTTAATTTGAGGGTGAATCAGGCCTGTCGTGTTGTCTTTTCCCATGTCACCTTGAGATTTGGCCTACCATTTGTGAACCTAAATATAAGGCCTACACAACTGGCAAGATTTCATACTGAACAGCCATAACATACAGCGAAATGAATCAAGCGGCTCATACATGTGCCAGAGCTGCGAACAGAAACATTAATACACTCATTCGCACTTAATCATCAACACAATGCAATATCAACATTCAAAAAGATGGAGGAGACTGACCTTTGTTGCCATGGGCAACCGAAGTCAAGCAAAAGAGGAGAAAGGATAGGAAACTCATTCTGGCCATCTGAGGGAGGAAGGAGGGGAAGGACAGAGGGAAATAACATGCATTAACCCTGATAAGAAGCAGTTTCAGATAGAGGACAGAGGAGAAACAGATCAGCACATAGACAGAGACAGAAAGACAAACATATCAGGTTGCTTGCATTTAGTTAGACGTAAACATAAAGACAAATACTACGCTCGAAATGTGAAAATGACATGTAATACCCTTGACAGCATCTTCGTGGCCTGGTGTGACCGAGGAGGTCTGGCTTAGATCTCAGATAAAACGTATATTTACCCAGTGACACCCAGCGCCCAATAAACCTTGATATTAAGCGACGTGAGTGCGCGTTAAATTGAGAAGTGTGCGCATCCTCGGTGGCGCGCATGCAGGTGTATCCTCGCGAATGTGCGCGCGGACGCGGCTTTCACGGGCAGGTTTGTTAACGGACTATCAAACGTGATTAATGAGGCTTGTCCTCGAATAACATCTCATCTAGAAAGACGTGAGACGCCATTCACGCAGCACACATCGATATTTCCTCAAATAATTGAAGATTAGAAGCTGACAACTTGGATGACAGGCGGAGACGTGATTTAAGTGGCGTTTTAAACGCGTTTAGTATTAAAACGTCCGTTATTAAATGTGTTATAGCTCACCTCATATACCTCAAACGTATATGCGACAAACAAGAATCGATTTTTTTAAGTCTGTAAATAAAACCAAGCGACCCGATTCACTATAGCATCCCACATTCACAAGCACAAACGCGTTTAGCTGGTGTAACATCTTCATTGAGCGCAAGAACTCAATTGCAAATATATATATTTTATATCAAAAGCACGTTACCGTGAGGTGTGTGAGATGGTACCCTGCTCAGTGTCCTCCAAGCATCCGTCACACACTCACACCTATGACAGTCTGATACCCGCCTGAACGCAACGGGTGGAGCACTGGGGCCTCCGGTGCCTCCCGAAATGAGCTGGACTGCGAAAAGGAGGCAAACTGTAATTCGAAAATAAGAAACCAAGTCACCAATGCCCTCGTTTTCGGCGGATGCCGTGACAGAAAAAAAGACACGGTGTGAAATCTCCTCCCTCTTAACCCGCCCACACTGCGTCTCTCTCGCTTTCAGGACTCACCCCCGGTAAGAGTTTACAAATCCTACTGCGACGAAGGATTGGGTGTTAATATTCATAGACCAACGGTCTCCTATTGGACGCTTAAGCGTAGATAATTAATATTCATAAGTATGTCCGTTCTTATTGGAAGGCAATAACGTGAGAGCAGTTAATATGCAACAACCAGATCGTCTATAGGAAGTTAACGAACGATATTTACATAACCTCTTTAATATTAATAAGCCGAGCTTTGTCAATAGTAGGATATTTTTTTTCATCACGATTAGCGGTCCCTAAGCCTGGCTGTGATACATGTGGAAGGGAGGGAAGCATCTGGAGGGATGGTGTCTACTACTACTCATCGTCAAACCACACTTTCCCCACTGACAAACTACATTCGTGAATGCGTTTAAAAAGTCCCCCAATCTGTGTTCAGCTCTTGAGCCCAGACTGCAAGATGACGTCATATCGACTCCTATAGCAGACCGATCAAATCTTTCCGTATGTGTAACAACAGAAAATGTGTCAGCTTCTCGGTTCTACATGAAGAACTGTTGTCTATTGCCTCTGATTTTAGTTAGATAGCTTTTCTGTGATGCTCTTAATTTATTTATTTTCATACACTTTTATACAAGTGTAAATTACTTAACCCTTTCTTTGTTTTATTAGATGTTTTCTTTCTGCAGCTTATATGGTTTGTATTTTTCCTCTTTTGTATCTCTCATATATTGATCCCCTGATTGTGGTTGTTTTCACGCTTAAATAATAATAATAAAATAATACTAATAAATCTAAAACACAGAAAGCAAATAAGACCAGAACACACAGGAGCACATATTGTTAAAATCCAGCATTTTTAATGAACATTACAAAAACGTTTCATTTAAAAGTAATTGTGTTTTTCACTCTATCTCTATATTTTTTATTCATTTTTTGTACATTTGGTAGCAGTAAGGCAGTTGTTTCGCAAAAAAACAAATTTTTACATCATTAAACTTTGCGACCACGTGTATAAATATTATAAAACAAATCAGATGCTACTGTGAGCTTCTGCTGCTCCCTCGGATAGGATTTAGGTGCAGATTTTCAATCTCGCCCTCACCGATGAGTGATGTTTATTTGTGCCAAGGATCTTCAATATGCCATGCCATACAAAACAGATATGAAGCAAACATATGTAGATATTACTGAGAGCAGATCAGAAAAATAAAACACGTGTTTTGGGTATAAAAACACTTCACTGCGAAACAAAACCTTGCACTTATTTAGTGAAATTAACAGCAGTTTTAACTTGTGCTATCTTTATGCACTGTTTAGTTCATTGCTCACCAAAATACTTGCTATAATTGAAACAATACTCTGCTCTTGATAATATCCACACGCATTTACGCTCATATTGATGATTCAGGTAAGTAGTGTTGATGTTATTGTGATGTGTGTGTGTGTTTTGCTTGTGCTCATACACTGGATTTGCTGGAGAAAATGGAGTGAACAAGAAAAGGTCAAGATGGATGGACAGACAGTGTTAAATGGAGTGAGCGGATGAGATGACAGAATGATGATCCTTCTTATGAAAGTGTGTCAAAAAGCTATAAAAACGCAGTTACCGTAAAACCCCTTCCTGAAAAACTAAACGCGAATACCCTTCAGAGCTTGTCTGAAAACAAAAAACAGGAAAACGGTTATAAAAATGAACAACATTCATTTATAATGCCAGGCGATGCTGAACGATCAGTCACTGTTCACTCTTATGTTTGTGTTTCACATTTCATTGTCTTCTTTCAATCTAAAGGTATGAGAGTTTAAAACAAAGATCCCAGTAAAGGAAGAAAAAAAAAAATGAAGATCTCATTTGTTTCCATTTTTCGAATACATGCTCAACAACCCCCCCGAAAAAGTGCACACTTCACCTCAGCGACAGCCGAAGCTGGTTCTCTGATTATACAGGAAACGAGATCATTACTGAGTAATGAGTGCAATGGTATGAGCGGATACAGTATAATTGTTTTCAGCCGCCATTAAACCTTATCCAACCAATATCCAACCTCAGAAATGCTTCTATTTCTGCAGTTTAAACCTTTTTCATCCCAGTCCACCACGAATCCCAAAGAATGAGAAGAACTTTCAAACGGACTAACATTTGTACACATACATCAGTGCTGTATGTAAATAGTAATATATTACTAAAGGCCTTAAAATTTGTCCTCTTCAGGCGCTCTTTAAATGTCACAGTTCACTTCAGTCCATCACAGACAGCAGCATACAAACCTGCGACAGAGAAAAGAGAAAAAAGAAAGAAAGATGATTTTACACCTTCACAAAAACATCAGGGCCCTGATTTATACAAAAAAGCTTAGAAACCGTCCTAACGCCCCATTCACACGGGGGTTCAGCATCAACGCTTGACTGAAGGCGCGTCTGAAGCTGGGGCTGAAGTGATCGTGATAGAAGCGTCAGCCAATGAAATTCAGTCAGCAAGGCCACTGTCTAGCTGGTGTATTTGCATACATCGATCTGATTGGCTGACGCTTCTGTCGACTTCTGCAGCGAGCAACGCCTCTGAAGCGGCGCCGACGGAACCACAATGCAGTATGGCAACGCCTGACGTCCCCCATGTGAAGTGAATGGGAAGCGTTGACGCTGACGCCCCGTGTGAATGGGGCGTAAAAGTGAACGCACATCAGAATAAATGGGGTATCAAAGTATATACAGGAATCAGAAGTGAAATTCAAAACCTTTTTTCAAGAGTTCACACTTAGTTGATGATTGTTTATAAAGCTTGTTTGGCATGCTGTACCAGGAGAGAGCCCTGAGCTCATAACAGGGCTCAACAATAAGGACTGCCCGATGGCCCGGGGCCAGTGTGAGAGATGCTTGGGACAGTAGACAGAATTGTTACTGGCCCGATCGGGGCATTTTAATAGATGGCAACATGACCGCGACATTAAATTATGAGGCTAAAGGAAATGTCTGTTTCTAACTTTGTGGAAACATTTAAATAGGTACAGCATGACAAAAAAATGAAGGTAATGTTTTTCTTAGTTTGCCGTCACTTTCAAGTCAGCCACCTTTTGTTTTGCAATAAAATACGTGCACGTTTTCCATACTGCTACATTTTACTGCTAAATATTTTTCAAATATTTCAATTCTACAACTACTGACATTATTTTCATTCATTCATTTTCTTTTCGGTTTTGTTCCTTTATTAATCTGTGGTCGCCACAGTGGAATGAACCGCCTGACATTATTTCGTGAAACATTATTTAATATATGTGTATAATATATGTATACTTTTTTATTTCTTTTATGGGGCCAGTGAAAATTTTGGCAAGTAAAAATCTGAACCACTGGTCCAATCGGGCCAGTAGAAAAAATCCTTAGCGTTGAACCCTGCACAAGATCCTCGAGCCCGGGGCTCCCTCCCGTTTGCAAGGCGAGAGGGGAGGTTGATCTCAGGTAGATCTTGAGAACTCCCCTGCTGTAGTAGCTGATGAACAGATAGTGAATGCTCTTAAGAGATAACCATTTACTGGGAGCATGTCTATGATGCCGAATTGGATTAGTTAATTAACTTAGGTTGCATGTTTTTTGACGGTGGGAAGAAACCGGAGAACCCAGGGGAAACCCATGTGAGCACGGGGAGAACGTGTAAACACCGCATAGAAACGTCGGCTGGCTTGGTAAGGACTAGAACCAGTGACGTTCTTGCTGTGAGGCAACAGTGCTAACCACTGGGCCACCGTGTCACCCATCAAGGAAAGGAGGAGTAGTAGGGGTGGAAGGGGCGATTCTTCAAAACTAAGATGGCTGTCATATGGAACTTGGGGTATTTATAGTGGCTCAGGAATCGTCTGATTGGTGAATCATAAATTGAATAATACGAGGCCGGCTGCAAGAATTCATAAGCACGTGATCCTCTCGAAATTAGTTTATAAATAAAATTCACTTAGACTCTTTCCATACATTTTCAGACCGTATAACCACTTTAGTTATACATGGTATATGCAGGAATCCTTAAGGTAATTCTTTTTAAGACTTTTTAAAGACCTTCTCAGAATATTTTAGGTCCTCATCGCTTCTTCAAGTTCTAATAAGTATCAAACCTTTAACTTAATAAACAGTTGTAGTTACATAAACCAATAGAGCGCAACCATACAACAGAACCCAGATAAGCCCGAAAGAAAAAAAGGTTTTAAGGAAAAATTACATTGTTGTTTTCAGCAACAGGGTTTAGTCCCTGTTTAAACTCATCTTTCTTTAACCAGGAATACGCAAACTTACATTTACCTATTTTGCCGTCTGTTTTGCTCTATGGTTTCGCTACATGTGGAGAGCGTCACATCACCTTCCCATGTTTATCACTAATTACAAGACATTACCCGAACGGAGGAGCTTGGCCGGATATGCCCCAGCCCAAACCAACTGCATAGATCGAGCATGTCGTTGTTAATATTAGGAGGAAAATAAATATGTTTATGCTTTTTTGGAGTCAAACACTTTGGACAACACTTGAACAAAATGTAAGACCTCGTAAAACACAACTTTTAAATATCTGTAAAAGTTCTTAGTTTTCTCATAATTGATTTATCAACTTTTAATACTTTTTAAGACCCCACGGATACTCTGTAAAAAAAGCAGCAGGATGTCAAATCTAGCAGGATTTTATTGATTTCATAAACTACACAGCATCCTGATATTTGCTGCTGATTTAATTCAGGCAAACTTTAGCATACAAATATACATTGTATATTCAAAAATGGTTTAAAATGTAATACCTTAATTAAAAAAAAAAAAAAAAAAACTTAAGACTTTAAGGGCTTTACATTTGTCCACATTGATTTATCAGGACACCCTGGGTATATGCACATAGACTTTTAATTTTAGACTGCCCGTCCCAGGGCTTCTGGTTAATTTTCATCCCATAAAAAAAAAAATCGCCATGTGTAAGATCTAATTTCTTAGAAAAAAAAAAAAAACTTTACTGCCTGGCTGATTATAAAATAGAGTGGGTA